AAACTAGAAATTATGGTTGTAAATAAATAGTTTTAGTGAAAAGTAAAAGCATTTTAATTTGTATTCCATGATTAAAAAAAAACAATTATATTTATAATTTAATATTAACACTTTAAATGTAAATTAAAAAAATGAATAATTTCAATATATAACGGATACTATTTAGGAATGAAATGTAGAAAAACAATATTAGTTTTTAATAAAATGTTAAACAACATCAGATTGAATAAACACAGTATAAATTTTGAATGAAATCTAAGAAAAGTAAAATATATTAAATGATAATCAATAAAATAATTAAGGTATGATATTATTTTTCAAGCATTAAAACTTTAAATTAAAACAAAAATTAAAATGTATATATAATTTATAGTAAACGATATCACACCGGATAAAATTACCGGATAAAATTTTTAATTATAAAATTTTAATATTAGTTATTTAACAATTAATTTTTAATTGAAATTTAAAAAATACATGCAAATTTTAATAAATAATAATAATAATATCAAAATAAAATATAAGTATTAAAAATTTAATATTAAAATTAAATGATTTGGATCAACTTAAGCTTATGATTTAATCGATTTGAGAATTTGAAGATTTAAAATTATTAAATTTTATTTTAATTATCAATTAATTATTCTTGTGAAATAAGATTTTTGATAAGTTGATTAAAATATTTGAATAAATGTAAATAATTGACAGAATATCCAGTATAGGAGTAATGGAGTAGAATGTATCGAATTTCGATCATTATTGATTTGAGTATAAGAAATATTGGGTCTAGAAAATGAGATTTGAAGAAAAAGGGGGTGGTAGAATACAAGCAAAAGGTTTAGAATGATGGTAAAAAACAATAACAATTGAAGTCAATTAGAAAGAGCATAAAAGAATAAATATAATTATTAGTGATGTTGTATGAATAATAAATTAATTTATTTTTAATAATAAAAATAATAAAGATGGAGAAGAGATTTTACAAAACCTGTTCAAAACATGCTTACTATTAATATATCAATAGATTTGATCCAAAATTGTTGGCTACCTATTAGACTGGATATTATCATGGAATAGGAAGACAGTAATAATGAATATTTAAGTAAAAAGGGGATTATTTAAAACATTGGTACTGAGATAAGCAGGTGATAGCATCGGAATGGAAGAGGATCACAGTTATACATATAAGATGCATGTGATAGCAATGAATTTAATGTATAGAAGTGGTTGGGTGCTATTTGCTTACATTATAATTTGGAATACATTTTTATTAGGAGATCCTTGTTAAGTACATACTAGTATTTAATAAATAATAGGTATTCAATACATCATATTGGGACTTGGCTTGCAAACCATCAGGAGATATGGATTACAATACAAGATACGAAATGTTGTATGTTTAAGACAGAGTGTTAAGATTCTGATCCATTAAATATAAAATAATATTATTATTATTTCAACTATTCTCATTTCTTTGAGCTTCAGCTAGATCCTGTAGACCAAGTTAATTATTCTCCTACAATAATAAGGAGGTATAGATTCCAAACACTTTGCCCTCTATTCTCACCATCATTAATTACAATTCTAAATCCATTCTTAAGATCATTGACTAATCGAACTATTTTAGTCACTGTTAATAAAAAATGACCTAGGACTTCTTTATTGTGTACTTGTGCCTTTGATAATGAAGTTAACCCATTTCGATGTTTTGGAATGAAAAGTATATGTACAATAGTTTATGGATTAACATCATGAAAAGCAAGACACTAGATAGAGACTAATATTTTCCTAGATTATTGATAATTTTATCTATCATGAAATGATTTTATCAAAAATTGTGACTTCAGTGTCCATTTTAATTAAAATATATTAATCAAAGTAAATTTTATTACAACCTAATTAAATTGAGGTCAACGATATGAATCACTAAACTCAAATATTTATTTCTAAATATCATTATAACCTTGATCATTTGGAAACTATTTTCGCAAATGTAAAAAAAGAAAATCTCCAGGTATCTACAAATTAAATCTTCTTAAAAGATATGGGTAGACTCCAGTAATGATAAATCCTGCTCCAAAAGACATTGGAAATGTCTAAATAAATATTAAACATTAATACTTTGCATGAAGACTCAACTATTACATTATCAGATCTGATAAACAAGAAGGGTATCAATATTAAAAAAGGAAACAATAGTAATAACAATCTTTTCATATGGTACTACCAAGGAATATTATTTCTCCACTTATTAAAGATGCCTTCATCATAAACACCTTAAGCTAATACAGCACCAACTATAAGACCTGTGATAATTGCTCCAATTAACGTAAATTAGAAACAAGAATTAAATAATATTTATGGAGAAGTTCTTGTGTAATTTTAAGATGTGCATTCATTTATTCTTGTAATCCATTTATCCATCTCCAAATCTTCATAGAAAACTTTATCATTTAATATTAACAGTCCTATCGATAATCCAATAATAATTAACAAAATTAGTAATGCCAAAGGAATTAAATAATTCATTTCAGCAAATCTATTTTTTTAAGGACTTAACAATTTTTATATTTATCTATAATTATTTATACATATTAAATACTCTTTTAATGATGAATGTATTACAAAAATATACATTAATGTTATATATAAACCCCAAACCCAACCCAACACCACTTATCCTATTGAATGAACTCCAAGAAATATTCGAGAAATTCCAGTCATTATAATACTTAAAAGGATGAAAGCAATTAGTAATATTTTGATTGCAATTTTACTTTTTGATTAAATGATTGTATCATCTTATAAACTGCTATTCTTTACTAAATATTCTCATAATTATTACCTCAAGATCTAATTTATCCAAATTTGATATTGTGTAACCTGTATGATTTTCTTTTTTTTCAATTTCTAAAATTCATTTTAAATTCATACTCTTTTAATATTCATCTTAGACCCTATGCCTTCTTAATTATTTTATAGATGGAAAAAGTAATACCGGCATAAGAATAAGCATCACTAATGAATTTTGAGCATGTCCTGAAGGTTTACCAAAATCTGAGTTACATCTCAAACTAAAATGTATATTTTATGTACCTCTTAATATCAGGCTCAATCATATATGGTCTTGCTTAATGGTAAATATTCTTCAAAATTTCATTCATAGTTACACTTATTACAACAACACTTAAATAAAGTAAGGAGTTTAATTTATTGTTATCATATATGAAGCAATAAAACGCTGCAATTGGTGGTATGAAAACAATGTATGTAAAGAATTCATAAACCAACTTTTCGAAAACAGGAATAGTTTATTACATTGATAAAGCCATTGTTTTACTAGCTTCCCAAATTTCATCATTAAAAACAATATCTATCACAATGTAAGCAATTATCACTAAAGTAAACAATGCTGACAATATTAATTTATTCATTTTATTAATACATAAATCATAGAATTCATACATTCATATATTTGAAATATAAAAAATTTTTACTCAACCAGCTTTTAATTATATTCAAATTGTGAAATTAGTCTTAATAAATATAAAATCATTTAAAATGTTTGAATTTAACTTTATTACTTATTAAGTAATAGAACTTTAAAAAGAAAATATAATTTATTGTTTATTTAAGAAGTAAAAATGAAAGAAAATTAAAATAGTCAAAAGAATTTAAAAGTTAATGAGGAGCATAATAACTTTTGATTAAAATTTAGTTAAATAAACATCATTCCATATAAGCAGGTTTTTGTTTTCCAGTTTTAAGAGTGCAACCAGCACAATGTAATAATGCTACTGCAGCATAGATAGGTCCTTTTTTGAGCATATCAGATCTAAATGCTATACCCATATATTCACCATTCAATGAAAATGAGAGTGTGCCTTTAATAATTAAAAAAATAAAAATACCATTATTCATATTAAGACATACACCAAGTGTTCCTTCTTTTTTAAATCTTTTACCATAAGTTTAACCTGATGCATTACTTCCATTTCTTAATTAGGCTAATCCATAATATGCAAAGCCTTAATTTAAATCACAAAAAGCAGCATTTAAATTTATGGTATTACCTTAGCAAACTCCAATTTTAAGTTCATTTTCTGTTCGACTATCTGCTTCTATTTCCCAATAGTGAACACCATTTTCAAATCCCTAATATAATAAATGAATGAATACTTAATCTCCTAAAACAGTTCTGAAAATATATGAACTTTCTTTAAGGAATACACAAGTATCACCACTTGTCAATGTTATTCCTGATCCACATTTATTTTTATCCCATTTAAAAACTGCTCCATCGAGAGCGAGAGTTTGAGATGATAATATTTTAATTGAGGGTTGAGATGTTGATAATTTAGGTATAATTTTCTTGATTATTTCATATTATTTTCTATAATCTGCCATATTTTCATATAATTAGAAAGTCATTTCACAAAGTGTACTGCAAAATCTAAAAATATTTATAATAGAATTACTTATTTTCTTCATTTTATAAAAATTCTTTACAAATTTCATGATTTTAACATTTGGCCCTTAAACATTATGTCTAATGTTATTCAATTTCAACAATTGAAAATAATTTTTTGCATTCAGGATTAGAGCAGAAAAGCATCAAATTCTTATATACCTTAAGCATTGCTCCTTAAATTTTAACATATTATGGATTAGCTCCTGCAGTGGTACAATCAGTACTTTTACATAATGGTTTTCGTGCCACACAATCATTACAGTACATTTAACCACAAAAATTGCATTCTTATGGGTCCTTAACTACTTTATTGCAAATCAGGCATAGTAAATGTTGTTGAGGTTGAGGTTGAAATCGATTAATGTCATACCCTGACATAATTATTTTGTTGAAAATTTATAAATAATTTATTAATCAAAACTTAATTTAAATTTATATTGTCTCAATTCTGATAATAGCACTTAAATAATATAGCACGTATAATAGAATAGATATATTTGAATATTGTTCTGCATTTTCAATATTATTAAAAAGATAATCATATAAATGACATTGTGAAAACTTGCTTTAATTTGAGTGTGTATTCACATAAATAAATTTATTTGGATTTTAAAAAATATAGAATAGATAATATATAGTTAATAATATTTAATGAGTTAGAGTGAGAAACAAAAAGGTTTTTTATCCTATGAATTGCAATTTACTCTTGTAGTAATTTAAAATCAAGGAAACTAATTAATTAATGGATATATAAAATTAGAAAAGAAAGAGCAAATTTTCATTCTCTCGTGCTCCAGCAAATGAAAATTCTAGTGCTCTTTAATAATTGAAAAATAGATTTAAAGGTAAAATAAGTTTGTAGTGTTAGGATAAATGTTGTAATTGATAAATAAAAATGAAAATAAGGATTAGGATAAATAAATATAAGAGTTTTTAAGTCGAATAAATGTTGAATTAGAAGAAGAGGATCTAAAATATATAAAATTTGATATGAGCAAATATCATGAAAATTATATTGATGGTGAGATTTTAGGTGAAGGATGTATTGGATTAGTAAGAAGTGTTACAAGGAAATAAGATGGAAGTGAATTTGCATGTAAAATAGTAAAGACTGATGCTGAAGAGATAGTGAAAAATGTTATATTGAATATTTATAAGTTTAGATGATATTAGAATTTAAGAATCTTAAAAAATTAAGTCATCCTCACATAGTGGCAATGAAGGAACTATTTATATAATGGAATGAAGGTTTTTAGAGTACAGGAACAGTATTAGTAGTAATGGAGAAGGTGAAAGGAATGGAGATGTTTGAAGTAATAAGAAAGTAAAAGAACTATAGTGGTAATAAAAGATTTATGTTTAGAATGGACAGCAAGAATATTATTTGAATAAATATTAGTTGCTATTAAATATATGCATGATAATTATTGTTGTCATAGAGATTTAAAACCTAATAATATTCTATGTACTGAAGATGGTACATCAATTAAGATTACAGACTTTAATGTATATCTATAAATGATTATAAATAAATTAGGTTTCAAAATTTACTAATGGATATAAAGAATTCTAAAACATTGATGAACATGGTAAAATAGAGATGTGGACATATACAGGTACAGTTGCATTTTCAGCTCCTGAGATATTTTCAGGTGGTTTGTACAAGTATATTATTTTTTGCAATTAGTGAATAAGTCGATCTTTGGAGTGCAGGTGTGATATTATATGTTATGTTAAGTGGAGAATTACCTTTTAATTCAGAATATTTAAATGATCTTATAGATTAAATACAAAAATGTAAATATTAAATGATTGGACCTATTTGGGATCATATATCACCAACAGCTAAAGATTTAATATAAAATTTGTTATAATTTGATCCACAATAAAGATTAACACCTGAATAAGCACTTAATCATCCATGGATTAAAAATGTTTAAAATAAATCAGAAATACCAAGAGATACTCTAGAAAAGAATATGGCAAGATTTTTAAATTAAAAAACAAATAATGAATCTGAAATGAGTGCTAAAAAGATTAAATAAATATGTTTTTTATTTGGTGCTGGTGAAATATGGAAACGTCACTCATTAAAAAATTCATCAGTTTCTAAAATATCTGAAGATCTTAAGAAATTTAAATCTATTGATATTTCAACTTATAACAAACAAATATAAGTAACGAAAGATAAGAATTCTAAGAATATTTATCATATTGATTGTCCATTTAATGATGATTCAGATTGAATTATTCTTATAATTATTTTAATATATTTTCAAATATGGAAATTTGCAAATTACTCCATCTCTTTTCTGTATTATTCTTATAAATATTAATCCATATCATTTGGATTAATAGATCCTTACATTCTGATATCACTTTCTTTAACTTCAAATCCACTTTCACTATCATATGATGAATATGGTAAACTATTATCAGCTGGAGCAAATGGAGAAACTACACCTTTTTAATCAGGAATTGGATCCTTTTAAATTACTGGAGTTAATTAATGTTCAACTACATCTACTGGCATTTCACTCTCAGCTATATATATATTATTTGATTTTCTTTAATCTTCTTAACTTTACAAATAAGTATCTTCATCATTTAAATGTTATTCTTCAAGTCTTTATTTTTTCATTCTTTCATATTCTTCTTATTCCTTTCTATCTAATTCTTCCATTTATTCTGCACTTAACTTTTATTCTTCATCTATTTATATTACAGATTCCTCTTCCTATTCTATTAATCTTTATTCATGAACATTTATCTCCTAAAATCCTGTTTCTTATGTTTCTTCCTCTTTATTCAATTATACATCATCATCAATATATTGAACTTATTTTTATAACATACTTAACTTTTATCCATTCATAATAGGGCTCTTTTTATCTCTCAAATTTTAAGCTGATTGTGCTATACTTATCAAAATAACTATTAAAATCACTCCTCTCATTAAAACGGATTATTATATTATTATAAATATTCTAACTATTAAAAATACTTGCATTATACTTTCAATTACTATTTATTCTCATTAACTACATCTTCATATGAACTAAACCCTTAAACTCATTGTTTAAACTTATTTTATTTAATATTATCTACTATTTTTGATCTTTTCTCTTTTTATTATTATATCTCATTAATTCAACCTTATTCATCTCTTAACATTTATAAGAAATAACATTTTAATTAATTTTAACTGTTTAATTGATAAGATATATATTAACTTAACTATTAGTAATTAAATTAATAAAATAACATCTTATGTCTTTAATTATTTCCAATAATAAATTTATAATGCTATCTATAAATATATTAATGAAATATTACAGACAATCTTGTATTTAGTAAGTTTGAAATTTTAATATGAAAATTCTAATTTGAAAGAGTATTTTGAGATAACTAAAATATCACAAAAGATTATAATTATAATTTGTATTCGTTTTTAATATTAATATATAATAAATGAGAATTGTTTTATTAGTTCTATTAAGCATGGTAGTATTGATATAAGATAATAGGCATTATGTAAAATAGGCACAGATCCAAAGATTGTGTTAGCAGAAATTGATGATCATCATATGGGTAAAACATTCTTGAATGCAATCCAAATCAGTTTGGCAACAGGTTCACCTGTACATGAGATTTAAAGTTACATAAACAATATTAGGTATATAATAACCTTGATTGTAGATTTATGTTAGAATAAGAATAAAAAGATGCTGATCTTTATATTCAAAGTACATAAGCATCATGCAATAGATTATTACATGATTTTTCAACAAATTTAGCTTATCATTAAAGTTAATTAAAAGCTCATTCGAAAATTGTTGAGGTTTATAATTGATTCTTAATAAATAGGAAAATACAAATAATCTTTAAAGATCTCTTAATAAGATTGCAGAAGTTTCAGTTGAAATAGAAGAGAATACTAAGAAAACAAATGCAGGATAGAGTGAAAGAGATTTATAATATGCAGAATTTTAATCTAAAATAAAAGATCATACAGAAGCTATTGCTGCTATTGATGAAGCATATGCACTTATTGAACATTTATCTAGTGGTTCATCATTTATTTAAGTTAAAGGAAGATTCAATAAAGTCTTATAGAGATTATAAAAGTATATCTATAATCTTAAATTATTAGTTAATCCACTGGATTATTATTCTAACCTATACTTACAATGATGACATAATTATCATCCAAATCTGATTCAGATACAGCTAAGAAAGTATTACAATTGTTGGCCAATTTAAGAGTTCAAATTGTCGAAAGCAAAGGAAATGATGAATCAATTGAAAAATAATAAAGTTTAAATTGGTAATAATTCCTATCAGACTTAACAAACGAAAAAAACACATTGTATATTCTATTATTTATATCAATAATAGATCTGACTAAAGATAGAATTTAGAATAAGCTATTTTAAATTATTAGAGTATAATTGAAGAATCAGAAGGCAAGGTTGAGTATCATTCTGCTGAAGTTGAAAGAAACTAAGTAAAAATTAATTTAAATTAATAGAGTAATTTGGAAGGATAAGATTAATGGTGTAGATAATAATAAGACATTTATTAAATGGAAACATAATCAAGAGTTTAGAGCCAAGATTTAATTTCAAGAATATCAGATCATATTTAAGATAAGATAGTTACTCTTAAAGAATATCTAAGAGAAAGACTTCAAAATTGAGTATCTAAACATTAAAAAAATAAATCCACATTTTCAAATTATTGTAAATATCTATAATTTATTATTTATATGACAAAGATGAACAGTGTGAGTGTTATAACAATTTCATTATTACAATTAACTGTTAAACAACTCCAACAATAATTCTTATAATCAATTTAGTTTTTTTTATAATAACACTTAAAAACAAAGCATTTTTATTTCAAATGCTTAATCATTTGTTTGTTATAAATATTTTAACAAGTTAATTATAATTTAAGTTAAGCTCATAGTTGAAAATAATCAAATAGTTGTAGACTTATACTTTGTTTTAAATTAATATAAAGTTTATTATTGATGGATTGTTATTTATGTAATAATTTAGCAGTTACCTAAATCAATAGTTATATGAATAATTTTATTTATCCTATTTAATAAAATATCAACTAAAATATGGTCTTCTCTGGGATTAAAATAAAGATTTATTTATCTATCTTTTAATCATAACATCCCAAAGTTGAATCTTCAGATATGAAATTCAAAATATGTATATATCAGAAAATTAGTGTAGTTTTCTCTATTATAATAAACTTAATAATATGTTAAAATTTAATTAATAAAAATGTAAAATAAAGAAATTAATAGATAGGATGTACCTAAGATTGACAGATTTTTAAGGAGAGAACAAATATTTAAGAATGAAAAGAAATTGAATTAATTACATGCTAATTATTATGAAGGAATTCAATTAAATAAGAAAGAACTTCATCAAGAAGCCATTAAATTACTTGAATACAAGGTTAGCTATCCTGAAGATTTAGATATTTATATATCTTCTAGTTCAGTTACAAATAAACCTTTTGTTTATAAGCATCCTTTATGGTTAATTGAAAAATGAGAATTTTGGGTGGAATTATATAAATAAAAATGAAATAAAATAATTAATTATTATGAGAAAAGTATTTATATAATTCACAAACTGCATTATAATTTCTAACTTTAAACAAGTTTGATAACACTGCTTTGTTGTAAATATATTTATGGGTTTATTTATTTAAATTTCTTATGCTAAATTTTGGCATATTTTAAATAGCAAGGCTAAATATTTAAATGTTATATTTTACTTTATTTTATGGGTTGGTCTTCCATTTTCTACCATTAAAATAATTATAAAAATCTTTTAGGTACGTTTTAGATTTAAGATTGATAAATGCATAACCAGGATTAACAGTACCATCAAATGGGAAATTGAAATAATCAAATTTGTTTTTGAATTTTGGATCAATTTCCATAATGAGCATTTCTTTAGTATAATTCTAAGGAATATTTCTTATCATTAAAGTTGTTCTATTATCTCCTTCAATCTTTAATTAGTTTAATTATATTACATTTGTAATATTGAAATCAAAAGATTGCTCACTTTCTTCAGATTTATCAAAAACTCCTTAAATGAATTATAATTGTTCAGAATGAATTGGTGTTTGATTACTGCTTATAAATATTTGAGATTCTAAGTCTAATCATCAAATATATTTACCATATGCTTCGAAAGTAGTGTTTAAGAAATCATCAGATGTTGAGGAATCATCACTTTAATGTCCATCACTATCTTTTTAATTGAATTCATCAATCTCTTTAAACAATGACAATTTGTAAAGTTTTCTCTTCATAATTTAAATTAATTAACAACTTATTAATAATTAAACATTTAAATTTATTTTTTTATAAACCAATTTCTTTAGTAAACTATAATTATTCTTTCTCTCATTCAATTTAAATTAAATAAAATATTAAATACTCTTATTAATTCACTAAACTAAAAGATCCAAATTTTATTAATTATAATAATTTTATCAATGTTTTCTCAACACTCTTAATTATTGATTCTTAAAAATAAATTTTGAAATGTTTATTGAATAAAACAAATAGATAAAATATACCTAGAAAGCAATGATATTCTATTTTAGGAACAAACCTAAATAAATGGATATTTTTAAAAAATAAATGTTTATTCAATAATTAAGTATTTCTGATAAATTTAAATATTGATAAAATGTTTAATATTTAGAAGAACATTCAAATATATACATCATAAGATAGATTTAAACATAGTAAGAAGATTAATATGATAATGAAGGGTTCCTATCTTATATGAATTTAGTAACCTAAAAAATTATTTTGAAGAAACTACCAAAACTAATTTAAAAATTAGGATTAAAATATGGCAAATTCTTAAGAATATTTAGAAAAGGTAATTTAGGAATATTTATTCTCGTTAAAACAAATATTAACAGGTCCAGAATCAAATAAAAATAAGATTAACAAGAAAGAACACATTTAGTATTGAATAATTAAATTATTCTATCAAAATTAAGGCTATCAAAAAGTTGGATAAAATTTAATGAAAGAGAACATTAACATATTGTTATTATTTTCAAACTATCCAATTAATTAAATTCAATAAATAATTCTATATCAAAGAAAAACCTTAACTCTCAAAGCTCTCTAAGAAGGATATCGAATTAAGATTTTTAATTTTTTTAATCAATAATCCATATTTAGATGATAAATTATTTGATATACTTATATTAAAATAGATTGAAATAAAGTAAATAAAAAAAAAGAAGATAAAAATTATGTATTTCTAACCTTGTTATTATTATAATTCAGAAATTAAGATAATAAATCATCAGATGGCGCTCTAATGATACAATTTAACTTCACAATGACATTTTCAATGTGTTTATTCATGATTTTATTTAAGTATTATATTACATTTATTTAAAATTTTATATATTGGGTTTACATTTTATTTGAACTTAAATTTTATCAAGTGCGGTACATAAGTAAATAAATTTAAATAGAAATCAACTTTCTAGAGAATCCTTTATCATTTTAATTATATTCAAGAGTTCTTTGAGATTATATTCAAACCTTTTATTGAAAAATTAAATGAACATGTTATTTTAATGTCAAGATTTAATACTTAATTAAGTCATTTGTTAGTAAAATTCTTAAATTATAGTAATAGATTAAAAAACTAGTGGAATTGATTATTTAGGATAAAGTATTAGATAAAGTCTATTATTAGTCTGAATATTTAATTTGATGAAAAGAGAAGTTAATTTAATGATCATTTACTAATTTATTTTATAAAGTTATTATAACATTACTGAAGGTTTTGATAATACTAAACAGAATATTTAAATAGTAATCAATTCCCTTTATTCTATAATTCCTTGAAACATGATTTCTTTTTATTTTACAAATTTGAGTCACATAATTATGGATTTAAAAATAAAGGTTCTATATGCTTTGCTTGTACTTAAGATTTGAGTCTTGACCTAAAATGGAATATCATCTCTTCTGAGTAATGTAGAAATACAATTGAAGAATCTGCAAAACTCACTTTTCTTTCCATTAATTACTGAATTGAATTTAATTGATTGTAGTCATAAGTTTAATTGAATAAATCCATTTTATGTTGTAGCAATTCAAACTTTACTTTTGGACCAATGCATGTAGTCATATTTTATAAAAGATTATTAATTAATTTTTTAATTTAAAATTATTTGATAATTCATGAAATAGTAATCACTATTATCAAATGGAATTTTATAAGAAATCTCTATTGAGAGTATTTTTTAAATTATTTGATTATTACCACTTATCCATATAATAATTTATTACCTTTATCAATTTATATTTTTTGAGATAGTAATAACTAAATTACTATGATTTAATGTTAATCAATCTGAAATTTAAAAATAATGGTCCATCTCAAATTCAATTGTCAAAAATTAATTTTAAAATAATCAAAGTATTTTCAATAAATGTCTTGCTTCTGATTGGAATTAAGGCATATTAATAATATAATTGAAGATAAAATTGATTAAACAGCAACTTTTGATTTTCTAAGTTTAAAGTATAATATAATAAAAGATACCTATTAGTAATTTAAAAGTATTTTTTAGATATTATGCTTCCATTTTTCCTATATTTGATGTTTGGGCAATCCCTTGATAAATATGGCAGCAATTCTTCAAAAAAGTATTATTGACTGGTTAAAATGAAAAATGAAATATAACAATCAAAGAATTAGAGTTTTATGTAGAATAAGGAAAGAAATAAAGTGAAAATGATAATATAATAAGGATTTCTAGTAGTTAGATATTAGTTTATTGAATTATTAATAAGAATAGCAAATCTGAAATATAAAAGAATGGGAATGCTTAAAATGTTAATGAAGCTATAGTATTCTTATGGGATATCATTTATGTGAAGAATTCAATATTCATGATAGTTAAAAATTCGGAGATACAATATATTGTAATGAATAATGTGATTTAGTTTATATAAAGCATATAAAAAAATTATTAGAATAAATATATGATAAATATAGTTTAAAAAAGGTAAAGCCTTGTTAGTTCATTTGAACTTTAAGAATTGTGTAATAAATTTATTTAAATAAATACTAATATTATTTTTAATGCATCTATGATGATATAAATTGATGAAATACATTCAGATAGAATATTTCAGTTAAGTTTTAATGAATTTTTGGAAGCATTTGGAAGAATAGCTAAAGTTTACAACACTAGAATAAAAGAAGAAAATATAAAAATTAGATTAGATATAAAAATAGAACAAATGATTCAAGAGTTCTATTATCAAATAATTAATAATAAATAAGTAATATGATTATGAATATATTCTATATTAAAAAGATGATAAGTATGAATATTTATATTTAAAGTATATTTCTTGATTTTTTATCGCAGAAAATTAAATTTTGATGTGTTTCTTAGAATTGTATAATAAATAGTAAATAAGGTATTTATGATTAGAGTAATGAGAAAGAAGAGACTATGTAAATAAAGAATAATAATTGTTCAATTGAAATTATATTAGTTTTATCTACTTATTTGATTAAATTTCTAGCCTTAAAATGCTAGTAAAGATATTAGAAAAACAATATTAATCTTATAAAACAAAATGAATTCTTCTCAAAGCTCATTTACAGATCTTAATGATTGGGCTTTAGTTTACTAGAATCTTCAACTAATTGAAACAGAATAATTATCTTCAAAGCTCTAATTACATTTCAAAACTTTACCGAGTTTTAATGACTTTATCAAACTTTATGAGTCTTCTAAAACTGAATTAAAAGATACTTGGAATCTGAATGAAGAGCTATTCTTATAACTTATTGTTTTGAGTCTCAATCCAAAATGTATAAAGGTAACAACATAAAATATAATTATATTAGAATCGATTTGATTGGGAAAAAGTTTAGAAGCTGATGCCAAATTATAGGAGTCTGTCAGAATTATGCTTTAAATTCTAATCTTTCTATAAAGCATTACTTCCAAGACAGCCTTGGTCTTCATTCGAAGATAAAACCTTATTACAAATAATATTGTATAATTAATCTCAATTATATTAGAGACAATCCTAATCGATGTAAAAAGAAATGGAGTTAAATAGCTGATTAATATAATCTTATATGCAAATCTGAGATTTTAAGAAATGCTAAATAATGTCGTGAAAGATGGAACAATAAATTAGATCCATAAATTAATAGGTAATTATTGATAAAAAATTAAAGAGAACCATGGTCGAAGTCTGAAGAGTTAAACTTTCTATATTTGCTACTTCAGAATGGACGAAAGTGGGCCGAAATATCTATAAAATTATCAATGATTACTAATTATAGAAGAAGAACTGAGTTTGCCTTGAAACACAAATTCAAATAACTCAGAAAATATTATGGTATATATATTCACTCATATATTTTTAAGGCTAAAAAGCCAAAAAAAATATTGATGTCACAATAAGTCCATATTGGAATATTCAAGAAGTCCAAATGATTTTATATAAAATCGAACTTCTCTAAGAAAAATCAAGAAAGTGTCAAACTTAAAAATATTCTTTTTGTGAATTTTTGAGCTCTGATCGTGAGTTTTTCTTAGTGATTATTAAGAATGGGTGTTTGATTAAATTGTGATATCAAAGCAATAAAATATTTATAATATAAATTCGATTAAAATCAGAAAGATATGTAAATTTCTGGCTTTATATACTCGCAATTGCAAAGCGATAAATTTGATTATTGAAAATAATATTACGAATATGAGCTTACTTCATATTCAATCTTATTAACAATCGACGGATGAATCATCCCATCCCCTAAATTCAAAATTTAACTTTCTTCAAATTTATGCCATAGATTTAAAACCTTACAAGAAAAAATGGAGGCTCCTTTTTAATAGTGTTCCAAGCCTCAAAAGTTTAGAATCTATATACTTTGATTTATAAAGTTAAAGTACAGAGGAGCGTGAGAGTAAAGAGATAATCTTCTTATAATGTATTCTTATAAATATGCATGCTCCTTTAAACTTAAAATTAGTAAATAAAAAACAATAAGACATAGAGTGAAGAGTAATGGATTCACATAAGTGAATTAATGCCAACATAAAAATCTTAATTTGAATGGTCTTAAATTTGTTAATAATTTGTACATTAATCTGCTTATAACAATCCATGGTCTTAGAATGAAGATAGCTAACTTTTAGACATAATTTTGTAATAATTTATACCAATATAATAGATGTTTTCAAAAAATGAAGAAGGGAAATAAATGGAGTAAAATAGCACGAGAACTAAATGAACGCTGTCTTAATAAGTGTATTCGTACTCCTAAATAATGTAGAGAACGTTGGGGAAATAAATTAGATCCATCTATAAATCGGTAATATTTATATATTATTATTATTAAGTGATGAATGGACAGATTAAGAAGATCTTAACTTTCTTTAACTACTATTATAACATGGAAGAAGATGGGCAGAATTATCTATTCGATTATCACCTATTACCAATAATAAAAAACGAACTGAATTTTCATTAAAACATAGATTTAAAAAATTAATATCTAGTACAATTAACATAGGTATTTTAATAATTAATACATTATTAGAATCCAAATCTATTCCTGGAACTAAATATCCTATTTCTTCCGATTGGAACAATAAAGAAATTAACAAACTACTTTCCAAAATATCTCAATTAGAAATGAAAATCAATTTAAAACAGCTTGATAACTTCTATTATCATCCTCTATTTAAACAAATTAAACTTAATGATTTTACTAAGTTGGTTATCATTAAAGGGACATCCAAAGTAGAGTTGGATTTGTCAATTCTTTTTAATTCGACAAATTCAGAGTTATATGTTTGAATAATTTAATCATTTTATTCATCATTAATACCTTATTTATTATATTTATGAAGAAGAATCATTCTTCTATTTTTTAATATTATTTTATCAAATATTCTTTAATAAAGAGTTGCTCAAATATATTATTATAATTAATAAACATACTCCACTTTATATCTTATTTTATTTCTTTATTGATTATTCACCATTTCTAATTATTATTATTAAGATGCATTAGAACAATCTTATATTTATGATACATACGAATATAAGAGTTAAACTGTTTCAACATCATAAGTGTGCACTTTATTAAATTTAATAATTATATTATATATTCTGATAACTATATAAAGCTTTCTTTTTTTTGACATTATTTTAAAGTAAATAAAATATTGACAAACTTAGATAAAATTAGTAAAATAAAACATCTTTTGAATCACCAATTAATTTCAATTCACTATCTCTCAGTAAAAAATTTATTTTAATAAATAAAAGTTTAATAAAATAAATACCTAACTTAACTATTTATTTTCTACTAGATTGATTAATTTAATTCATTATTTACTTTCAATGTTCATATAGAAAATCCAAATCATCTCTTTGGATTTCATATGATTTACACTTTTTAAATTTATCTAAAATTGATGATAAATACTTCAATTTTATCTATAATGAAATTTAAGTATTCTCAAATATACTATACTGATTTTGTCTTTGAAATTCAGTTATTGATATACGTTAAAGTCAAAACTAATATTTTCATATTAGATCTGCAAATAAAAAAATAATTTCTATAATTAATCGTATATAAATTCTGAGGAACTTAAAAATACGAACTTTAGAGGATCAATAAAAAAGAATGTGTAAGAGTTGTTAGTTTTTAAAAGAAAAGTGTAGAAATGAAATTTATTGAATATCCAAAGACAAATATTATTTAATTGAGAAACTACTTAGTTTTTCTGGAATCTTAACAAGCGTAAAAATAGGAGATTCTATTATGATATAGTAGTAATTGAGTTATAGTTTTTAATATAACGAAAAAATTGAAAAACCATTCATATTTATTGAATAATTCTCAAAAATATTTTCTAATTCTACAAGAAAGAAAGTTGATTTATTTTTTTGAATATAATAGTGAATAAAATATATAATTATAGATAATTATAATGAATAAAAAATTATTCATGATTTATTTTATAAAAAAAATAAGGAGAATAAAATGTGTTTGTAATGTAAATGGATACCAATTTTTTAAATTAGAAGCTTCTCTGTTCTATTTTTTTATTGTATATCATGATTATTTAACAAATAAAAAAGAAAATAGAGAATAAAATTGATATTAAATTTTCATGGTAATTATTTAACGCCTTGCTTCTTAAAAATTGACAGAAATAAAATAAAAAAAAAGATGAAAATCACAAATTATTAATTTTGTGAATTAGAAGAACATGATTCTGAATTTCTAAATATGGTATGTATTGATGAGTCGTGCAACAAACGATAATTATTGTGTAATAATTGTATAGAAGATCATTAACGATGTAAAAAAATTCCTTTAAAAAAATTTGCTAAATAATTTCATGATCAAATAAATTGTATGAATTTAGAAAATTAAAAATGCTAATATAGTGAGTAATAATATAGTTTATAATTTAAGTTTGATTGTTAATTTTGAAAATATTGAAGAGACATTATAAAAAGCTTAAGAAAAAATAATTGAAATATTCAATAAAACAAAATTGATGATTGATAAGTATATATAGAATATATAGATATAGTGTTAAAAAAGAAGTGAATAAAAATTTCAATAGTTAAGATAGAAACTAAAGATAATTATAAATTATACTAAAATTTTAAGAAGAGCCATCTTAATTGAATTATAAGTTGTTAATAGATGAAATAGAATCATTCAAACCTAATAATGATATGATGTCATTTACAGTAAAGAGAAATACATCAAATTAAATAAATTAATAAAATATTGAGAATGGAAAGATTTATGTTTAATAATTATAAGGTGCTATAAATACATTAATCGATTAATTTTAGAGTTTGAATGAAGTTTTAAGAACAAATATTTAAGATAATTTTTAAAAAACTCCTATAAAAATGATAGAATAAGAGAAGAATGATAAATCTATGGAAAAGTAGTTAAAATCTAATGTTATGAGTAGTAATAGATAAGTGTAATAATAAATAAATCCAAAAGAAAATTAGATAATATAAATAGAAGATGATTCAATAATTATTGAGGGAAATAAAGATGGGAAGAAAGAGATTGTTTAAACAGTAGATTAAAGAGAATATACAATGGATTAATTAAAAAAAATGATGGATATAAATTCTGGAAAGAAAGAACAATTAGATTAAAGAAAAAATAATAATAATAATAATAATAATAATAATAATGTAGTAGAATAGCAATAGAGAAATGAATAACCTGGAAGTAAGGATAAATATATATATATTTATAGAAGAAGCATAAGAATAGGAAGAGAATGAGACAGTTTTGAGTGTGACATTAGAGAAGTAATTTTAATTTATGTCAGGAGGATTAGAAATAAGTAAGATGATATTTATTAATAAACAATTAATTGGAGGAATAGGTGGATCAAAATTCATGTTACATGATTTATCTATACCTGATTCTGAAAGGACAAGAGTTCATACAATATAGAATGAATATGAATATACAGATATGGCATATTTAGAATTAGATGAATAAAATGGATCTCTATATTTAGCAACAAAAAGAGGATATGTTTATGTCTATATAAAAGAAGGAATTAAAAATATTACATTTAAATTAGGATCAAATCATCCATTAGATATAAAAGGAATGCTTTTAATCTAAGTGAATCCAATTGATAGATAATTATATAGTGTAGGAGAAGAAAAAATAGTAAAAGTCTGGTCACTTAAAACTATGAGAGAAATTAATAGATTAGAATTATAAGATTCCCCAACTGCATTTTATTCCAACTAAAAACATGTTTTCATTGGAGGTAATAAATTTATTAAGATTTGGGAATAAACATCAGGCATTTGTTAAACATTGAAAAATTTAGAATAAAAGGTTACATCAATCTTAACAAATGAATAAAAGTTGTTTGTTAGTATGATTGACAAAATCAAAATTTATAATTAAACTATTAATGGAGAATATCATTTAACTTAGGATGTTCCTTTTGGTAATATAAGAACTATCCAAATTTTTAAGACTTGGCCAATGTTAATTATTTCATATAATGAAGTATATACATTTTTTTAATTTAGAAATAAATGCCTAGAACTTCCTTATATCATTATATCGACCAATCACCTTGTGAAGTCTTATTTGAATCAGAAGTTTAATGTTGCATTGTGAGAGAATAAAATAAAGTTAACTTCTTAGCTTTTGGTCTAGAAAAAGGAAAATGCTGTATATATAAGATGGAACAAACATTTTAGCCCTCCCAATGATATATCAATTAAATTATTATACATTTTATTCATGTCTAAATAGAATTTGTTTTTATGTATATAATTTATAATTATATATATCTATATAATTTCAATAATTAAATAATACCTCCAATAGTATGAATATCAATTATAAGCATTTAAATATAATAAGTTTTTACATTCTTCTAACTTTGATGGACAACCATGGTTTTTATAAATTTAGATTAATTACTTAATGTTGCCAATTTTTATTTCTTTAAAAATTGCTATTACATAAATTAATGAAGTAATCCAAACACTTTTAAGATTGTGAAAAAGCAATGAAAGATTGGTAAGAATGGGCAGAGAACTAACAAATGTAATTTCATATTTATAATTTTAGACTAAATCCAGAAGAACTACCTCCTCTACAGTTTACTCCTTAAGATCAAAAAAACAAAAGCGCTTTCAAATTGTTTAAGATTGATCATATTGTCGAAGTCAAAAAGTAGCATCCAGAGTTTGGCTTCAAGGAGAGATTAGAAACACTCAAACACATGTGGCGGAATCTCACAAAAGATGAAAAGTTCATATATGTTTAGAAAAGTAAACAATTGAAATTTTGAATTGATTTTATATATATAATTGTATGGGTACTTGTTAAACTAATTGTTGTAATAAAGATTAAGAATATGGGCTTAGAACACATTAGAAAAGTGAGATTGATGTTGATGAAGGTAATCCAGATATGGATGATTCTAAAATTAAATAGTCTCATCATTCAATACAAAAACAAAGAGATAAATTTGAAGAAGATCGTATTCATGAATAATAAGAATTAGATAAAAAGAAAATAAAATAAAAAGAATAACAAATTCAAGTAAATGTTAAAACAGATAAAACTCCAAAAGATGAAAATGAATAGAATAAATAATAAAAAGAGAGTGCATATATTCAATGTGATAAATAAACTCCCACTCCAACTTCAAAACTTAAACATTTTGAAGATGATGGTCCAATTACTAAATACGATCTTCAAGAGAAACCAAACAAGAATTCAGTTTTTTAAAAAAAGAAAAATAAGAACCTTGAGTTTAATTAAAAAGTGTAAAAAGCAGAATAAGATGATACTATGAGTGATGAAAGAGTGAAATTAGGAGCAAAAACATTAGACAAAGGAGCTGTATATGAAGGTGAATGGTTAAAAGGAAAAAGAGATGGTAAAGGTAAGTAAATATGGCCAGATGGTTCAATTTATGAAGGAGAATGGATTGAAGGTCGTTGTTGTGGAAAAGGAAAACTTATTCATGCAGATGGTGATGTATATGAAGGAGAATGGTTAGATGATAAAGCACATGGAATAGGAATATATTAACATGTAAATGGAGCAAGATATGAGGGCTAAGTATAATTATTAGATTATATTAATAGTGGTTTAATGATAAATAATCAGGTAAAGGAATTGAAACATGGCCAGATGGTGCAAGATATGAGGGAGAATATTAAGATGGTAGAAAAGAAGGTCATGGAATATTATATTTTGCAGATGGTTCTAAATATACAGGATTTTTTGCAAATAATGAAATTCATGGTTATGGAGTTTATGAATGGTCAGATGGACGAGTTTATAAAGGTAATTGGAAATAAAATAAAATGAATGGAGTTGGAGAAATTAAATGGAGTGATGGTCGTTAATTTATAGGAGTAATTTATATATTTTATTTAAGAATTATTAAGATGATCTAAAACATGGAAGAGGGTAATTTTTGTGGCCAGATGGTAGAAGATATATTGGAAATTGGATTGAAGGTAAATAATAAGGATATGGAGCTTATTATTTACCAAATTAACCACCAAAATATGGAATCTGGGCAGATGGAAAAAGAACTTAATGGTTAGATGCAGATTAAGTAGAGTAATTAAAAATTAAATAAGAACTAGACTTTTGATTTCTAATAAATTAATAACTTTTTTCATTTATTTTAGTTTACAATTTTATTATTTATTTCTTAACATTTACTTTAAGATAACCATTTTTTTTAATTTATTGAAAAAATTCATTATCTCATTTATTATCTACATTAATTATTATATTATGAAATCCAATAAATTGAAGCCCATCTATACATTTTCAACTTAAAACTTAAATAAACCTTTTACAAATGAAAAAAAACTAGATGAGGAAAAGTTGAATGATATTATTAACAGAATTTTGTGATTAAGCTACTATTGATAGCAAAGCTCTTAATATAATACTTAGATCAATCTATCGATATCAATCTATTGATGTTGTTTTATTTAAGTTGAAATTTACGTAACATTTTTAAGTTATTAAATATTCTATAATAAACTGATAAAATTGAAAAAAAAAATAGAAAAATATTAAAATTAAAATACCATACTTCAAGAACAAGAATTAGAATAACTTAGCATTAATTTCCCATAACAAGAGATTAAACCGGATTCCATAACACAAGTAATCGATCACCTTCAAATTAATCTTATACTCCAAAAAAATACTTGGGGCAATAGAAATAAATAAAGAGTGATTTTTATTAAAGAAGTGGAAAATTTAGACTGGTGCTCAACTATAGTTTGCTTGAGTTTAGTTTAAGATAATAAGCTTCAATTTAGTTATAAAGTTCTATTATTAACCTTTTTTTTATTCAATAAAACCACAATCCATAAATGAAATTCAATTCATATCTAATTTTAGAATAGACAACCAATAAATATTTTTATTTTTTTAATAACATTACCATATCTATTTTATAAGGAATTAAAGAAAAATATTTGATATCGCAATGAAACTGTATTTTACAAATTATATAAAATTAAAAAATTCAGTTTTTAATATAAATTCTTTTCTACAATTTTTATTATGATGAAAGATGTTAATAAACATTCACATTTTCTTTCTATCCTAAAGACTAAATAATTTTTTGAAAAAAATTAGAAAAATATATTAGCTTTAAATTATTGATCTTTTTATATTCTCAGTAAATAATTTTTTAAACTTTCCAGAATTGTGGAGATTATCATATTATTTTTATTATTTAATTTTTGCTCAAACTTTATGATTCAAATTTCATCTCCAAGGAATGAATAAGTTTCATTGTACTTATTTATAATAAAAAAGAAAATCAATCTCAGAAAAATCTAAAAAATACAGATTAAACTATCCATTTTAACCAAATGACAATAACTCTGGTTTTGAAGTTAATTCTTTATCTTTTGATTAAATTGAATTGGAATCTCGTAAACCCTCTCGTAATACTTTAAGGTAATAACAACTTTAACATAAATAATTCAGTTGTAAACCCATCCATATGCTCAAAAATAGTTATAAAACTGATACTGGAAGTGAATAATTAAAGAAAGAGTTAGCATAAGACTAAATTTAGAAATTAAATAACTAATACTTCTAATAAGATAATAAAATTTCTCCTTTAGTGTAAAAATTGCTGAATAAAAATTTATCTGAAATGTAATTTACAGAAAATCATGATAAAAGGAAAACAATTCAACTAAACGAAAATTAACTCTATAAATTAATATTAGTATTAATCCTATTTCTAATTGGTATTTTGAGTCCTGCTTATATGGTCCTTTAATTTTCTTCATTTACAACATATGGATCATTGTGTTAAATAACTCTCCTAGTAACTTCAATTTTATTAAATTTATTTCTAAGGCAATAATCAACGAGAAAAAAATATACTAAAGATATTTTATAATTATTAAGTAAAGATTTGAGCCATGAGATTATTATTTTACTTTTATCAATTATCTTATTTGTAATTTAGATGTTACAAGTGAAAAAATTATAAGTGATAAATATCATTTAAACTATTGCATGTATTATAAGTTTAGTTAAAAATTTGATAATTTAAAATCATGCTACACAGGTTGGATTAAAGATTTTCTTATCAAATTTTTTATTTTTGCATCTTTTAAAATGTTATTAACTTAATATAATCTTTTTATAAAAATTGGATTTTTTGACCTTTTGTCAGAATTATGTATTAATAATGGTTTAAAATCATAGATTATAAGAGAATGAAGATAATATTAATTTAGCTTTGTTAGAGATTGTCTAGATTATCTTTTATTATATTTTCTTGTTTTAGATATTTATTTATCTCTTAAATTTATGGAATAACCATTTCAACCTGGATTATCTTTTGGTTAAACAGTAAAAAACATTTGAGAAGTTGTTGGGAGATTTATCAACTGACATGGAGAAGTCGAATTCAATCTTGAAACAAACAAAGAATCTTTAAAGTGAAAGTCTCAAGTATTTATCTATATTTGAGCAAATAACATAAAATTAATACTTTCACATGGAATTAAGAAAACTTTTATTGTCAAAATCTAAATTGTTTGAATAATTTTCCCAATCATCATAAGAGTAATTGATTAAATCTATGGAATTGCATTTAATCTATCCATAATAAATAATTTCTTGTGATTAATTAAATGAAGAATTATCCATTAACTTTCTAATACATGGGACTCTCAATCTTGGAATTTAAAATAATTAATTTTTTAATTTTGAAAAAATTGATGAATTATAATAAGGCTAACATTTTGGATAATTAAGCTTTTTTACAGGTTAAAAGGACTGTCTTTCCTTCTAAAGCAATCATTATTCTCTTTTATTTAAATTAAAAAGATAAAGCTTAATTTATTGTATTGAAAAAAATACTATTGATAATGAGAAACTATCAATAATTAATTAAGCTATAAATAAATAGAATTATTCAATATTGTAATTGAAATGTCAATGTTGTAATTCAAGTTATCATATACTTGGTGATTGCCCATAGGTACATATGTTTCTAAATAAAGATGAAATTATTTCTCAATTTCTATCTCCTTAAATTCAAGAAAGAAAAAAATGTAAAAACTTCATTTTTATTTAGATTTAAGATTATAAAATAATAAAAAAAAAAATATAATAAGATTAAAACAGCTGAAAAGTTTTTCGTTTAAATCTGATGCTTCAAAGAATATGTAAAAAAAGTAGAACAATAACTAAAATGTAGAAAGAAAGAGTTCAGCTTTTAATTTTGAAAATAATAGTAATTTGTTTAATTTTATCTCTTTTTAGGTGAAATTCCAAAAGAATTTAAAAGTGAAAAAATTTTAGATTAGCAAATAGTATCGTATTAAATAAATTCGATAAATAGCGTTTAAGAATTATATAATGATACCTAAAAGAAAAGCAAATAATGTATAATTAATGAATAAAGTAATGAATAAAATGAGTATACGGATATGAATAAAGGCGCAATAAATTTAGATTGTTAAGATTATTTAATTAATCCTTATTAATAATATATAATAACTGAAAGTAANTTGAGCAAATAACATAAAATTAATACTTTCACATGGAATTAAGAAAACTTTTATTGTCAAAATCTAAATTGTTTGAATAATTTTCCCAATCATCATAAGAGTAATTGATTAAATCTATGGAATTGCATTTAATCTATCCATAATAAATAATTTCTTGTGATTAATTAAATGAAGAATTATCCATTAACTTTCTAATACATGGGACTCTCAATCTTGGAATTTAAAATAATTAATTTTTTAATTTTGAAAAAATTGATGAATTATAATAAGGCTAACATTTTGGATAATTAAGCTTTTTTACAGGTTAAAAGGACTGTCTTTCCTTCTAAAGCAATCATTATTCTCTTTTATTTAAATTAAAAAGATAAAGCTTAATTTATTGTATTGAAAAAAATACTATTGATAATGAGAAACTATCAATAATTAATTAAGCTATAAATAAATAGAATTATTCAATATTGTAATTGAAATGTCAATGTTGTAATTCAAGTTATCATATACTTGGTGATTGCCCATAGGTACATATGTTTCTAAATAAAGATGAAATTATTTCTCAATTTCTATCTCCTTAAATTCAAGAAAGAAAAAAATGTAAAAACTTCATTTTTATTTAGATTTAAGATTATAAAATAATAAAAAAAAAAATATAATAAGATTAAAACAGCTGAAAAGTTTTTCGTTTAAATCTGATGCTTCAAAGAATATGTAAAAAAAGTAGAACAATAACTAAAATGTAGAAAGAAAGAGTTCAGCTTTTAATTTTGAAAATAATAGTAATTTGTTTAATTTTATCTCTTTTTAGGTGAAATTCCAAAAGAATTTAAAAGTGAAAAAATTTTAGATTAGCAAATAGTATCGTATTAAATAAATTCGATAAATAGCGTTTAAGAATTATATAATGATACCTAAAAGAAAAGCAAATAATGTATAATTAATGAATAAAGTAATGAATAAAATGAGTATACGGATATGAATAAAGGCGCAATAAATTTAGATTGTTAAGATTATTTAATTAATCCTTATTAATAATATATAATAACTGAAAGTAAACCTTTTTTGGATGAATGTGAATCAAGCAATATGGTAAATAATTTAAATAGTTACAAATCGAAATAGATGTCAGGTACAAATGCGAATTCAATCCAACATCAATAATTTATATCATTAACTGGATAAGTATAATATTTTTCAGTATGTACTAGATGATTTCAATTTTAAATAATGAACTTTATAATTAATTTACAAATTTAAATATTGATAAATGGTAGAATTATGAGTACTTTGAAGTTCATTATAATTTTTGGAATATTGAAAAAAAGTTGAGTTAGAAGTAAGAGGATTAAAAATCATATAAAAATTCAAGATAGACTTAGGATTGTAATGTGAGTATAAAAATAAATAAATTGAAAGAATAAGATGATTGATATTTATATGTTAATGCGTTATTTTCTATTAATTTAATAATTAGTTATTGAAATTGTTCTGGATAGATTAGAATTATTTAATATTAATATAAAATAAGCTCTATGAATATACAGAAATAAATCAATCTTTAAATTTAGAATTGAATTTTCTACGTGTTTAGCCAGCTTTATTAATTTTCTAATAAATGAAAAAAAGAGTACTTTCAAATCCATTTTAATTGAAGCAATTTGTAAGGCTAATTAAACAACTAATGAGACTAAATTATTATAATTAGGATTGGTATTTAAATTAGTCATAACCTTGACACATATTTTGCTTAGATAAATATATAATAATAATACCATGCAGGATCTCTATCAACATCAGAGATATAAATAATGTGAATAAATTTTTGATTCTCATTGAGTAGTTAAATGATTTCAGGTGTACAAATTGATAAGGCAATTTCATCATATTCTGTTAAGATTTAAAGGGAATTATCTAATTCTGGTATTGTAAGAGTCTCTAGATATATTTAATAAAGTTACATGACAAATGTTCTTTAGATCTTCATAACCTTCTTATCTAATTCTTTTAATTTAGTTTTATTTAACAATTCCAAAACAGATATATTATCTAAATTATGGTTACACACCTATTTCAATAACTAATCTTTCTTTGGAAGGGAATACAAATTGATAACCATAATAATTAAACAAATTTTCTCTTCTATGAAGCTAATTATTAATTAATAACTATACATATAAACCAACTAAACAAAATTTCATTGTAGAATGATTTGAAGCATACAATTTATAAGTATGAGGATTATCTTATTCATAGAGAATATTTTATTCTTTATCTCCAACATTTTTAAAATATTTCTCTAGCTCTATGCTAATCAAATTCATATGAATTCCGGCTAATCTTTTATTAAACTTTGATCCTTTAATATATTAGAAAGCAAAGATAAGTATGGTAACAATAAAAATGGTTTCATAGAAATAGAATTTATACCAAAACATAGGATTAAGGTACATGATTAGTTTAACCAAGAGTTATTCTGAATTCATATTTAATATATTTTATTTATAAAATAATCACTAGCACAAATAAAATTTATTATTTTAATAGTAAATCTTTTAACCAGAGGCTGAGCGAAATATTTTATCTTGTAAGGAGAGTATATTTTCATGATGTAAAATTTGATGATTGATTTCAGTATCAAAATCATAAAGTAAAATTTATTAAGCCCCTTATTGTATTTCAGCCCATCTTAATAAATCATATAGATTAAACATAGCTTCTTTAGCATCATAATTAAGTGATAAAGTCTTATATTTAGTTTCTATATAATTATTATTATAATACCATCAAAATTAGCAATTCTATTTCTTAATTCTGACCCAAAATCAATGATCACAGTTTCTTTTAAATTTATATCAATTTCTTAAAATGCATTAATAGATTTGAATGTAAGAATAAATGAATTGATTCTAGCTGAATAATGTTTTAAAAATTATCCAGGAGCTTCCATTGAACTTTTACGATCTAAATGTTATAAATCTTATAATTCTTTTTCAATGTCTTCTTCATTTTCTTCAATCTACATATATTTATTTTCATATTTAATAGCGAAATGTTTCAATGATTCACTTTAATTTATTTTATTTAAAATAGTATCTTTAGCCAAACTTCCTAATCTTAATATATGTAATTCATTTCCCAATGGTTTTATTACTGTACTTTCAATACCATTATCACATCTACCAGCATCTATAATATGAACTCTTTAATCATAAAAATCATTAAAAACATGAGCTGCACTTGTAGGGGATATATGAGTAAATAAATTTGCAGAAGGTGCAGCAATAGGAATATTTGCTAACTTTAACAATTCTAAAGCAATCTCATTATTTGGAATCCTATAAAATATATTTAAACAATTTATTACCTTATTCCTATTGACCCTGTCCCCGCTGATAAAATTTCTGTGGTCTCTAATTAAGTCGATCTAGTATATTTTTTAATCTTATACTTTAAAACTATTGTAAAAGGTCCTGGCCAAAATAATTCTGCAAATTAATCAACATAATCTGGCTTATCTGTATAGAGATTATTCTTATCATGAACATGAACAATCAAAGGATCACTTAATGGTCTTTTCTTTGCTTTGAAAATATTCAATATAGCTTAAGCATTTTTAGCATTTGCTCCTAATCCATAAACAGTTTCAGTTGGAAATGCTACTAATTCTCCTTATTATAGAAGCTTGGCTATAATTAAATAAATATATTATACCTGCTATGTGTAATTCATCTAAATTTATAATCCCACAATGAATCTCCTTTTAAACATCTAATTAGATAAAATCTTTGTATTTTATCTTAAACTATTCTAATCTATCCTTTGAATACAACTATGGATAACTTTCCATCTCTCTAAAACTTTATTTTAAATAATTCTTACATAATTTTTATTCCACTTTTTATATATATAATCTAAAATCCTACATCTAATGATTAACTAATAAATTCTAATCGATTTTATTCAACTAACCCATACTCCTTTATATATAACAAATTCACTATTAATAAATATGAAAAATACTAATAATCAGCTAAAACATGGTATTAATAATGAAGAAGAGTCAATCTTAATTAAGACATATATAAAAAATAGTAAAGAAGAATAACAAAAAGTATTATAATAACTTAGTGATGAATAATACTAATATAATCAACCATATTTATATATTTATTCATTTTAATAACCAATCTCTTAGAATCTATATTCTCTCAAAAACTAACAAATATCTAATTTATATTGTGAAGGATAGAAATTCAATTAAGCAATGTTTAAGTTTAAGAGTAAGATTTAATAAGTTTTAAACATTAAAATATACATTATTATCAATTATATTTGGATTCGAAGAAGTTCTAAAATTTTAAGAAAGTTATTCTTTTATTAGTTTTTTGAATATAGTTTGTATGAACTTGAATTGTAAATAATGAGAAATTATTTAGAAAGTGAGAAACAATTCATTTTGATAAATTCTGAAGTTTAGGAATTAATATCTACTTTAATTATGTAATCATTAAATTATAAATTTAAAATGTTTAAAAAAAGAATTAAATATCTTTGGATAAATTTCAGACAGTTAAAATAATTAAATGATAAATTATAGTTGAGGATTAGTGTGGTTGAAAAAGAAATGAAATTAAAAGAACATTATATAAAATCAAGTATAACTACAGACTAAAGAGATAAGAATGCATTTATAGGTTTTTAATAATGAGAGTAATAGTAACACTTAAAGTCAAATTAGAGAGAATAATAATTATTGTAAAAGCAGGGAATTTAGAAATGAATTAGAATGATTAGAGACCAAAGCTTAAATTACGTATCATAGAGGTTTGAGTATGATATTAATTTAACAGTTAGAAAGATATCTACATATATATAGATTATTATCAAACATAGACGCATGTTTTGACAACTATAGAGATTGAAATTTTTAAGAAAGATAAAATATAAATAATATAAGATAATGATTTAAGATTTAGCTTATTTGGAGATTCAAAATAATAAAATAATGTAGGAAGTGTAAAAAAAAGTAATAAGTCTATTAAAATCATGGAAAGGGAAGGAGTTATTGAATAGTATTAAGATAATATATAAATCATCACCTAAGAATTATTGTTCAAGAAAAAATTCGTCCTACCAAGGAATTGAACCTCGAACTCGAGAGCCGGAATCTCACGTGTTACCATTACACTAATAGGACTTGATTTTACAGAAAAATAATTATTGTATATAAATAATAAATAATATAAACTACTCAATTTAAAAGCTTGGTTAATATATTACTTCCATATTCAATGCATTGTAAATTTAAATCTTTAATTTTCTGATAACTTTATTAGAACATAACTGGATGATCTAATTAATCTCTTAAGCCTTCTATAATTTATTCTTTATTTTAATAAATGGTAGCATCAATGTTTCTAATAATTTGAATATTGGTTGATGGATTAAAAGTAACATATTTTTAGAGTTCTTTTTCAAACTCCCATTTACCTTTAGATAATAATGAACAATGAAAAGCAGCTGAGACTTCTAAGAATAAGGAGTTAACCTTGATTTTTTTTAATTCATTTTGCATTAATTTTAATGATTCTTTATCCCCAGAATAAACTAATTAATTTTAAGAATTATAGAGTGCAGGTTCGATGATTTAATTTACAAGTAGAACTTTTTTAATGATTGAATTGAAATCTTATGTACTAGCTACAGCTAACATACCCATTTATCTTCCTTTAGAACAATCTCTCATAATACATCCTCTTTTATATAATAATTAGACAGTATCTTAAGGATCTAAATGACCTGCAATAGCTAAGGCAGCATATTCACCAACAGAATGACCTATAGCATATTGTATTTGTGCATCAGGAATTGATTAATATCGAAGGTAGGAACAGATAAAAATGGCTGGTTATGTAAATTCAGTTTAATTAAGTATTGCTTATGGTCCTTATTCAATTGATTATTATAAACCTGGTACATGTTTAACTAGATTCAAATATTGATTTGTATCAAGGGATGCATGCATACCAACTTTTTAAATGCCTTAGCCTGGAAAGAGATGTAATATTCTTTTCATTAATTTTTAATAAACAATCACAACAATTATTATAGTCCACCAACTAGTCTAGTTAGATTTCTTTAACTAAATATATTTCTATATTCTTCATTATATTTTCGAGCTGTTTAGATTTTAGGTAGAGGTGTTGGAAGTTTATTGTAATCACTTATGGTTTTCCGTTGACGAACAAAACCTTCATGAGTTAGTGATGTACTTTACTAAACTTTCTATTTTTATGAAGGTTCTGAACTTAGCTCCTATAATTTGACTTCATAATATGAAACACGAGGATCTATTGTTTGTGTTTTTAACTTTGGGGGTAATTTATATTTGGATTTAAATCTATTCATATATTTATATATTAATATAATCAATAAAAGTAATATGAAATAGAAGATATATTAATATTATAACAGAATATAAAAAATATACATCTATAAATTAATAATAAAATACATAAGATCAATCAACTGCAATATTATATTTTACCAGATGGTGCATTCCATTTTCTATAATTTGAATACCCTTAATTATTAACATTAGCAAGATGAGATAACTCATTTGGTACTTCATTCTATGATTCTCTAAGTACTCCAACTAAATCACCTGCCAATTTAGCATCCTCATAAGAATCAAATAAAGATATTGATACTCCTTAAGCACCAGCTCTACCTATATTAATAATATATATTATAAAATACCAGTTCTTCCTATTCTATGTACATAATCTTCTATTAATTTTGGCATATCAAAATTAATTACAAACTCAATATCTTTTATATCTAATCCTCTAGATGCTACATCTGTTGCTACTAATACTGTTGTATCTCCTCTTTTAAAACTATTCATAACGAAATCTCTCTCTGATTATCTCTTATCTCCATGTAAAGATTTACATCTTAATCCATCTTAAATCAAATAAAGCTGTAATTAATCACATTTCACCTTAGTTTAACAAAATATCAGAATCTTTCTAGTACCCAATTATTATAAAATCTCTCTTAATTTACTCTCCTTTTAATCCTTTGTTAAAATAACTACTTTTTATTATATTTATCTATTGCTTGTCAAATCTAAACTCCCTATTTGAATATGTATTGGCTATTAAGTACAAAAATCTAAAGCTAATGATTATACTTCCTTCGGCCATGTTGCTGAAAATAACATTGTTTATCTTTCACTTCTTGTTTAAGCTACTATTTTTCTTATTGATGGTTCAAATCCCATATCCAACATTCTATCTGCTTCATCTAATACTAAAAATGTTATCCCTTTTAATGTTGTACTACCTGATTCTACTAAATCTATCAATCTTCCTGGACATGCTATCAATATATGAGGATGTTAATTTAATTAATTTTTTTATATAAATTTCTCTTAACCTCCAAATAAACATGCTGCTTTCAATCCAGAACCAACTGAAAATTTTGTAAATTATTCATATATCTAATTAGTAAGTTCCCTTGTTGGTGCCATTATCAAACATTAAGGATCAGAATTCTATTTCAATTAAGCTAATATATGAATTATTGCTGGTAATAAAAATGCCAATGTTTTTCCTGATCCTGTCTATGCTATCCCTATTAAATCATGACCTGTCAAACCAATTGACCAACTCTATGCTTATATTGGTGTTGGACCTGTAAANTAAATTAATAATAAAATACATAAGATCAATCAACTGCAATATTATATTTTACCAGATGGTGCATTCCATTTTCTATAATTTGAATACCCTTAATTATTAACATTAGCAAGATGAGATAACTCATTTGGTACTTCATTCTATGATTCTCTAAGTACTCCAACTAAATCACCTGCCAATTTAGCATCCTCATAAGAATCAAATAAAGATATTGATACTCCTTAAGCACCAGCTCTACCTATATTAATAATATATATTATAAAATACCAGTTCTTCCTATTCTATGTACATAATCTTCTATTAATTTTGGCATATCAAAATTAATTACAAACTCAATATCTTTTATATCTAATCCTCTAGATGCTACATCTGTTGCTACTAATACTGTTGTATCTCCTCTTTTAAAACTATTCATAACGAAATCTCTCTCTGATTATCTCTTATCTCCATGTAAAGATTTACATCTTAATCCATCTTAAATCAAATAAAGCTGTAATTAATCACATTTCACCTTAGTTTAACAAAATATCAGAATCTTTCTAGTACCCAATTATTATAAAATCTCTCTTAATTTACTCTCCTTTTAATCCTTTGTTAAAATAACTACTTTTTATTATATTTATCTATTGCTTGTCAAATCTAAACTCCCTATTTGAATATGTATTGGCTATTAAGTACAAAAATCTAAAGCTAATGATTATACTTCCTTCGGCCATGTTGCTGAAAATAACATTGTTTATCTTTCACTTCTTGTTTAAGCTACTATTTTTCTTATTGATGGTTCAAATCCCATATCCAACATTCTATCTGCTTCATCTAATACTAAAAATGTTATCCCTTTTAATGTTGTACTACCTGATTCTACTAAATCTATCAATCTTCCTGGACATGCTATCAATATATGAGGATGTTAATTTAATTAATTTTTTTATATAAATTTCTCTTAACCTCCAAATAAACATGCTGCTTTCAATCCAGAACCAACTGAAAATTTTGTAAATTATTCATATATCTAATTAGTAAGTTCCCTTGTTGGTGCCATTATCAAACATTAAGGATCAGAATTCTATTTCAATTAAGCTAATATATGAATTATTGCTGGTAATAAAAATGCCAATGTTTTTCCTGATCCTGTCTATGCTATCCCTATTAAATCATGACCTGTCAAACCAATTGACCAACTCTATGCTTATATTGGTGTTGGACCTGTAAATCCAGCCTTTACTATTAATTCCTATAATGGTCTTGGAAAACAATATATATCTTCAAATCTTAATATTGGATCAGGAACAAAAGAATGAGATGATTTTATAAAAATACGATTTGCTTAACGATACTTTCTAACATCCTCTGGATTTGTATTTGGTCTACCCTTATTTTTATTTCACATTAATCCTTACATCCATAAACACCTTCTTTATCTACTACAAATTATGTTAACACGTCTCCTAAGGTCTCAATTACTTCTCTCTACTTCGACTACGACTCCTACTATGTGAATGATTCATAAAAATAATATTAAACCTAAATGGCTAAAATTTTAGTTGAAATATTCACTAATACAAAATTCCTCATTATTATTATCCATTATAAATGTTTTTTATTAATCTTAATCATTTATCTCATAACTTAATTATTATAATTTATTTTATATTATTAACAATGTTTAGCAGTGAAAGTATGTAAGAGCATATTTTGTATGACAAAATCTATTAATACCTATGGGTTAAATCAGAAACTGCCAACCCTCCTGCCATCCTCATTCCTGATACCGTCATTCTTATTCGTTCTATGCCCATCTACTGGTATTACACTGATAAAGAAACAGGAGAAATAAAAAAGAAAATGAGAAAGAATGTTACGAAATAAAACATTAAACAAACCTGGAATCAATAAGTTGGCAGAGGAGGTGTGGTTGCATACCTTTTACATTTTATGTATGCGTTGTTCCATACTAATTTGCAAGTGATAATTTAGATCTGAATTACCCTCCAGAAAAGTTTTCAATAAGCGGTTAAATCCAAGTGATCTACTTTGATGTTGAAGGATTCAATAAATTTATGGACGGGCACTTCGAATTGCCTTTTGGTATTCTGTAACAATTCATCGAACCAGCAGATGATAGGAATTGTAATATAAGAAGTGATTATTGAATAGCCCAAATTTAGGCTTTTTGGAGTAAATCAGTCACACTATTCACAAAGAGAGTTTGCAAGAAATCTTTCATGAACAAGTCGATGAATATTTACGAACGACATTGTACTTTTGAAGGACCAGAATATTTCAGTGAAGCAAGTATGTATATATTGTTGATAGTTTAATTAAAGCTTAAGTGAAAGATTTCTAATCTTAGAGAATCTCTGAATAAATAGATAAAATGATCTCTCATTTAGATGCCATCTCATATGGGAAATTAAATATCTCATAAGGGACATTCTATTTCAAAGTTGATAAGAAAGCAAGATGTTGGTTTTTATTTTGTGGGAATTTGAAATTTGAAGATGATAAACAATTAAAAAATCTTCCAAAAGATCTTTATACTTAATCTCAAATAAAAGTATATTATCATCCTATAAAAAAAAAGATACCAAAATCAATAGATAATTTGATGTCTGTATATAATTCTAGACCTCTATAATTAAATAGAGAACATAAATGTATTAGATGTGGTTAATTGGAAAAGGGATCAAATTTTGTAGAAGTTCCATATCATTTTTTAATTGATTTTCATGAAAATCCACTTCCAGTTGAATAGTGGCCTCTCGAAGTTAAAAAATCAGCAAAATAAGTTAAATTAAGTGGTGCAAATTAAGAGAAGATTGCATATGTGAATACTATATCTCAAATTCCAATGACTTTTTAGAAAATACATGAATAATTGAATATTTAAAACTATTCAGATTTTAAGTAATCTCAAGGATTCAAGTATAAAACAATAGCAGTTTGTTTAGATTGCTATTTCTTAATGGGTATAATGAAATATAATATATTAAAGTTGAAAATTAAGAGAGAATTGCTATGTAAGAAGTAACATAAAAGGAGAAAACAAGTATACCAAGAGTGAAATCTAAGTAATTTTAAAGAAAAGAATAAAATCTTAATCAATTTCTCAATTCTACTCATTTATTCAAATAAGTGAAATCAGTTAAGAATATAAAAATAAAACCAATAGCTTCTCAGACTCCAACTCCAAAATAAAATACAATATAAAAGTATGTAAATTTGAGATTGACAAATTGTAAATCAATAACACCAATAAAATATTCAATTGAAGTACCTTCAACTGCAGATTATTTGTCTCGAAAGACAAAATCTACATATTAGGATTTGAGTACAACTTACAAATTCAAAAATAGCAGAGACAATTATAATCAATCATTATAAGAGAGATAATAAAATAGATTGATAGAAATTAAAGATGAATAAGAATAATGATATTTAATTTAGTGACTGTTATTTTATTAAAAATAAATGTTTATATAGGCATAGATTCCAAGAACTCGTTTAGCAATTACTCCAACCAATGTGAGATATGTTTGTTTAGATTCAACACCTAACAGGTAGCAGTTAAATATGACACAAAGAATTCATGACAATTAACCAAACAGATAAATTAATGATCATAAGACACTAATTAACAATTCAAACAAAGAGAATCTAACTAGAATCCCTGGAAATTCATTTTGCCATAGTTCCTCATCTAAAGAACTTTAAATTTAAATTTAAGAACTTACATAATAAAGAGATAGTATGTAATACACTCTTTAAGAAGCTATTAGAAAAAGCAACCTTTTGGAATAATAATTAGATGTAATCTATCAATATTATATAAGTAATTACAAAATTAAAGAATTCAATAGGCCATATAATTTTAAGTTAATATGGATTAGTTTTAAGATCAAATTAATAATTTAACAAAGAAATTACAAGACCTCATTTAAGAAAATAATCAACTCTAAGAATAATATTAAAGTTAATAATTTTATATAGACGAATTCTAATTCTAAGAAAACGATCAATTTAATATTACTCATAATTTTGGATAAATATGAAAAGTAATTATTAGTTATATATAATTTTTTAATTAATGTTTACTTAGTAACTGGATTAATCTAACTCTCAAAATTCTTCATAGTAATCATAAACCTTTTTAACAGTTCCTCGTCTAATTTAATAAGAATCTCCAGCTTTTTAATTAAAAGCACATAAATAGGTTGATTTTGAAGATCCATATTCATTATAAAAAAGTGAACATAAGGAAAGTCTTGAAGAAGGTGATATTTTTGGTTCAAAAATATCTATAGAGAAACGAGATATAAATAGAATTGAAGAAGTAGAAGAAAATTATAAATCATTAAAACTGTTTTAAATAGAAATGTAAAATGTCAGTGGAAGAAAGCTTTTAATAAATAATTTAAAGATTAGTGAACAAAGTGAGATTAAAATTTCAAAGTAAACTGACTAAATAAGAAAAAACTAATCATCAAATATCTAAGATAAAGAATTTTAAGGATAGGATTCTAGTACTATGATAAAATGGTCTAAAAAATGGTTTTACATAATAAAGTTTTTAAGTAAGATGATGTCTGTATAACCAAAAATTCTCAAGTAATCTCATTTAATGCTAATTGATGACAAAGCATTATTCATAAATCATAAAGTTTTTCTTTTTAGTCCATCATCCACAATTGTTGTTTGGAGTCGTTATATTATGATGACATTATATATTTTTGGATTTGGACTCATTTATTTAGAATTTGCCTTAACTGATACCAACAGTATTTTTATTGTATTTTGTATATTTAAAATTTAATAAAGTTGCATTTACCATTGTTGAGACTCTAAGCAACTATTTTATAGGTGTGTATATTCAAGAAGTTTATACAGAGAATAAATGGTAAATTGCATAATAGTATCTAATTTATGATATAATACATGTCTTTACATGTATCTTAACAATATTCTATTCTTAATACTTTAGTAACAATAATCAATTAAATTAGTCTTATTATTGTTATTAAGAATCTAAAGGCTTTATGTTATTAAAATCAATATTTTGAATTATGTCATTCCAATTTTGATAATACATATCATTACAACCCTTCACTTAAAATTCTTTGAAGATTATTAGTAAATTTTTAGTTATAATTAGATACTTAGATTACAATTCTCTCTCTAAATATATAATATCTTTATAATGGACAATATTCCAAATAACAAAAAGTGGCAATTGTATTTAGATTGAAGGTTCCTAATAATCAATACAAATATAAATCCTATCAATTATAACAACTATTTTTGGTTATCTTATAACCATTTATTTGATAATACATGTTATTAATTTTAACAAATCTAACAATAAATTTAATATAAGTGCATAATTAAACGATAATATATAAAGGTACCTTCATAGAGATAAAATTTAACCAATAAACTTTTAAAATATTCAATCTGAATTGTAAAACAAATTGAGAGAAGAGCTCTTCATGCCTTGTTTATTAAAATTACCATTTTCTAAATAATTTCTATAAGAACTTTGTTTGAAATTGAAAAGTGCTATATATACAAATGGAACTATTTTGTAATATGAAAATCAAATGATGGATAAATTATTATTTGTAATAAAAGGAAATGTGGCGTAATGTATTGGTAATAAAATTTTACCCCATAATTCAATACCAATTCAATATTTTTATTGTTAAATCTTATGTCCAATATAATTGAAATGTATAAGTGAATCTCTTATTGCATATGTAGATTATAATGATTTTAGATAATTGATCAAATTATATAATTCTGATTTTGAAAGATTTTGTATGATGAAAGATAATCAAAAAATTAATTGTCATTGTTGTGGTTATAGAAATCATACATTTCATAGATGTAATCATGTATTTTATGTACCAAATTTTAAAGAATTAATACTTTTACATAACACATTTGAACCTAATAATAGAATGAATTATTTTAGAAGTAATGGTAGAAATAGAATAAATGCGTTAATGAATAAAAACCTTATTTGCATCACAGGGATTAGTTATGCCATAATTAATCAAATAGCTCATGAAGTAGATTTAACAAATGAAGTAATGGGTAGATTTTAGGGAACCTTAAGTAATTTTGAAGATTCTATTTTAAATGATTATTAAGAAGAGAGATCTTCTAGATAATCAATGTAATAAAGACATAGTATATTTGACGTTCCTAAAAGTTATAATTAAGCATAAGATACTTATAACAGTTAGACCTATTTTTAGAGTAGCATTCCAGTTTTAAAAATAGAAGAGAAAGAAGCATCATAAAATAGTAGAAAATATATTCATAAACATTTGGATTATAGTGCAACCAATAATTCTATTAAACCAAATTTAGTTAAGTCATAAATTTCAAATGAATTGTAAATTAAACGAACTCAAAAAATTAAATAATCAAATTCAAGTTGTTCATTAAACAAGAAATCTGGATTTGAAATTTCAGGAACATGTTAAGTAGGTTCTACAATTCCATTATAACAAATATATATAGATGATTTTGATTAAGTATGCAATTATGAATGTTATTATCCTTCATTTAATATCGAATATATAGCTAAATCTTTAAATCATAAATTAATGCCCAAATACATGCACTTTGTCAATTGATTGTATAAATATACTTTAACAGACAATATAAAATAATTATATGATTACAAAATTAAAACAATTCATAAATGATAATTCTGTGCCAAATGCAAACAGTCCTGTTCTTACAGCACTCAGAGATTTAAAACTGAATACCAATGACACTCAATTTACATAATAAGGAGAAATTAGTAAGAGATTAAAGCATTTTTTCGCAAATGATCAATCAAAAGTAAATTAATAAATGACCATTTATTAGTCTTAGTTCTTAAAATAATTATTAATTATCGTTGGAGACTACTTACAATAAGAGAAAAACTTCTTTGTTAAATTAAAAATGTTATTGCTAGTACATATTATTATCAGTTCTCAAGTGGCAAGAGCTGAATTCTCAAAAATGATCATCAACACACGTTTAATAATAAATATAAAGAGTAAAGATGAGTTAGAAAATGTGCTTGGATAATTATGCCAATCCTATTATTGTTATATATATAAATTGGCTGCTTAAACTACTTTAATAAATGAGGAATTCAATAAACCTTAAGATGATCTGATGATCTACTTCACATTATCTAATTAATGTTATATAGGGATGAACATGCAATAACTAATAGAAAAGATGAATAAAGAGTATGATCCAAATCCTGTAATGGCTCATTTAGTAAAATTCTTATATTTTGACATTCAGGATATTTATATATTTATACTAAAAGATGTTAAATATCTAATAGAAAAGAATCCAAGTTTAATATGCAATAAATAACAACTATTAGAGTTGTATAAGGAAGTATAATAAACAAAAAAATTAGTGTCAATCATTGCAAAGCAAAATGTTGAGTTTTTACAAATTCAATAGATTGTTTCCTCATTTTAATTAGATAATGCCTCCACATTCAATTTAGATAAAAGCATCAGTTTTAAATGGAATAATAGAAGAGAAAGCTGTAGTGAAACAATTTGGTTATAAATAAGGTTCTTATGATATACGAGAACCTTTATCTGTAAAAAATTCAGATAGAAAAGTAAAAGAATATAATCGGCCCTTCTCACCTAAATCTAAGATAAATTAATGATCTTAAATTGCAATTTTAAAATACTTAATTTCCCAAATGAATTAAAATAAATAATAACTAGTGCACTTGTACTAATTATGGCCATCTAACAATCGATTCTTTTGTAGAGGTCGTTTAATGACAGGACCAAGGGCAGACAATACTACTAATTTAATAACATGGCTATTAATAATTCTTATTGGTGCTCCATTCGTTGTCTATATCTCCCCATAGATTTGGATTGTTTTGCATCCATCTCTTCCAATAATATCATATGTCATGTATTTTAGCTGTATACTCTTCCTATTTATGACTTAATTTACTGATCCAGTAACATATTCATAATATTTTATATAGGGAATTATCCCTAGAAAAGAAATCATTGAAAAAATAAGAGATGAAAATCTATTGCATTTAATACCAACTGAAGCTGATAATGCTAATTATTCAGTTAAAATTTGTATTACTTGTATGATTAAAAAACCACCTCGCTCTAATCATTGTGCAGAATGCGATAATTGCGTAGATGTATTTGATCATCATTGCCCATTTGTTAACAATTGTATTGGAAAACGAAATTATGCATATTTCATATCATTTATTGCAACACTTACCATGGCAGCTATTTCTTTTGGAATTGAATTTTTATCTTTCGTTATACTCATTGCTACAACTGATTAAAAAGTTCAGCAAATTCTTATCATTATTTTGATGATCCCATTTGGAATATGCATTTTGTTAGTCTTTGGTCTGCTTATATTTCATATCTTTCTCATCATCACTGGAAAAACTACTAAAGAACAACTTAAAAATTTAGAAAAGAGTTCTACTCATAGTAAATGTGAAAGAACTAAGAGTCTCTTCAACTCTAGATTAATTGTTGAAAAATTATCATATGATTAAATTAGATATGATTAAGAAATAGCTGATATCAATCCAATCATTATTCCAGCTTGATCAAAATTTATTATTTTATAAATCGATTATATTATTATAAAAAAATGATAAATTACTTTTTAACCATTTACAGATATAATATTAACTTATTTCTTAAAATATTCTTAACATACCCTATTAATATTTCAATTAAGATCTTAAAATATTTATTTTATAAAATTATTTTTTTTTAAATTACATTTTTTCATACATTTAAAATAATTATTATAAATCCAAAATCATTTCATCTTAAATTCTAAAATAAATTTTTATTCTAAGTTCCCGAATATTTCACTTAAATATCATTTTTAATCGTTTACTAAATTTAAAAATTTTTCATTTATTAAAAGTTTTAAAAATTTTACTTAGGAATATAACTTTTATTATTTAAATTTGAAGAAGATTTATACACATAAACAAAAATTTGTGAAAGTTATATGGTAAGATTTGATTGTTATGTATATAATGTTTTTATTATTCAATTATTATTATCAATAAAATATGCCTCCCAAAAGTAATGCAACTAATGAAAATACGATGGCTAAACCTAAACAATTTATTAAGGTGTAGAATAAGTGATATCTCATCCATGCTAATAATGCGATAATTAAAGAAACAGGTATAGAAAAGATCATACCAATACCAACAAAAATAAAAAACTAAATATCTCGTGGTAATCCTAAATTAAAAAATCCTTCTAAAATTATTGTTATTCCAAATACCTTAATATAAGATTGTAAATACCATAATTGAAAAAGATTTTATTCTAGTTGAATAAGTTAAATCAGAATTTCTTATAAAATATTAATTGAATAATTATTCTGAAGATTATATATCTTCTGTAATCCATGAAAGTTATTAAATTGGTTTTTCAGCTGATTTAGCAAATTAAGCAATTTTGCTGGTCCAAGAATCAGTACAACAACCTTAATCTGAATCAAATTCATCAGAATGTAAACTCTTTTCTGATTAATATTGATCTTCTATCACATATGGCACAAATGTATTATTTATTTATTTTGAAATTATTGTTGTATTTCCACATAAAACATATTAAAAAGAAACTCTAAGATCTCCAACTGTTGATTAATTTTCAAATTAACATAAATAAACTTCACAATTTTTTATTTTTCTTTATAACTAGGTATATAATACATATGAGGAAATTCTTTTCCAAATTATTTGAATGCTGCTTATAATTATGTATCATCTGGAAGCAAATACTAAAAGTTAAAACATTATTCTTTCATTTATTCACATAATTTAAATTTTCCTAATCTTACATCTGGATTAATTTTTGCTGAAGATTCGACTAATAAAAGTTCTGGTTTATTTTAGTATTCAGAAGGAAATCCTTTACTACAAATCTAATCGGCTCT